TATTCATTTTTAATTCTTCTTTTTTAGTTCTTTCAGGGATTTCTAATCATCTTGTACACTGTCATCCCCAAAATATGCACCATATGGATAACTTCTTCAATAATGGTTTTTCGACAAAAAGTTATTCCTGTTAAAAGTTCGTGTATTCCCTAAAACTAAACATGCATCAACAAATACAGTAATACGTGATTTTTAGACAAGAGTAAAGTACTCTTATTTTGGAAAATCTCGGGAAATGTTATTTAGAAAAGTTGTTCAGCATTGAAAAATACATCTAAATTTGAAGCCATGGCCATCTAAGTAAAGTTTTATTTTTTTTACCCATTTTTTTTAAAAGGGACTACAAAAAAAACATTTGATAAAACGATAAATGGATAGCATCCTCTATACGACGTTTTATTTTGAAGGCCTGCAATATTACAAATTACACAACTATGGAGTTAACCACGGCCAATTTTTTTGAAGAGCAAATTAAATTTTTTAAGTTTTTAGTGCAAAGTTATTTTTATTTTTTGTTAACACCAAAAATTACTCAAAATTATACAGTAGGTATTGTAATAAGAACTCAATATTCAATAATATCAAATTACAAAACATCAAAATAAAATAGATTTTTCGGAACAAACTTATTGATTTCCTGGAGATTTTCTTGTCCAAAATAAGTGTTTTAAGTTGAATCTCCAGAAAATCAATGAGTTTGTTCCGAAATATCTATTTTATTTTGATGTTTTCTGATTTGATATTATTGGATATTAAGTTCTTGTTACAATACTGTACAATTTTGAGTAATTTTCGGTGTTAACAAAGAATAAAAATAACTTTGCAAATTATTTAACTCTTCAAAAAAATTGACCGTGGTTAACACCATAGTTGTGTAATTCGTAATATTACAGGCTTTTAAAATAAACCGTCTTATACAGGATGCTGCCCATTTAAAAAAATGGGTAAAAAAATTAAACTTCACTTAAACTTCAAATCTAAATGTATTTTTTAATGCTGAACAACTTTTTCAATTAACATTTTCCGAGATTTTTCAAAATAAGACTACTTTACTCTTGTCTCAAAATCAAATATTTGAAGGCTCCTCGTATATTACATGTGTTTTACTATATTTTGTTGGTGCGTGTTTGGTTTTAGGGAATGCACAAACTTTTATCAAGAGTAACTTTTTCTCCAAAAACCCTTAATAAATAAGTTTCCCATATGGTGCATACTTTGGGTATGACACTGTATAACATCAGACAATGGAAGTCCGAACTAATGAAATTCAGATTTAATCAACTTATGTTACGTTGGATCAAGTGTACTGATTCAATTGGAGCTTATTTCGATTAAATTGAATAAGTATTGAATAATACTGGAGTTTTATCTCAAAATCAAACCGTTATTTTACCAATTCGACACGTGTTTCGATCACCAAGATTGTCCTTCATATCCTAGATACCTCTGATAGGTACCTCTGATAGGTACATGTTACCTTATCTACTAGTCTCAAATTAATTTTACAATGTGTCCTCATGTGATAGTCATGTAAATCAGATAATTGAAGTATTATTCCAACAAGCTATATAGTATTCTATTAGGTATTGGTCCACCATCGTTATTCATGATAATGATTATGTTTACTTATTGCTACACTCTCGTAGGCATCTAGCTGCCTGTTGTTGTTAACTCGTCTAACTAATCTTAATGAACTAAAGTCTATGGAATGATTTTCTTGCAAAATATGATGGGCGACTGCTGATTTTTCTGGTCTTCCATATTTTAGATATGCTGAGTGTTCCTTATATCTTATTTTAATAGCTCTTTTTGTTTGTCCATTATATTTTGCATCGCAGTCCTTACATTCAATTTCGTGAATTCCAGTCTTTTCCGAATTCTCGACTTTGTCCTTTGGATTTCCTAAAAGGATCTATAGTGTATGACCTGTTATAAAAACCACCTACATATCTAGTTTCTTGAAAAATTTTCCAAAGTTCTTTGTCTATGGGTGGTATGGAACTGAGATATATTCATTCATAACCTAAACTTTATATTGTATTACCTTGATATTTTATCGAAATATAAACACATGGGCTGAAAACTCCCGGGCCTAAGATAAGAAACGCGTTTTTTTTGTCAAAATTGGCTTTATTCATCAACGTAATTCCCATTAAGAGCCACACATTCATTCCATTTCAATAAAATTTTTCGTAGAATGATTTATCTTTTGTCTCAAAATAGGCCCCAGTTTCAGCAATAACCTCTTCACTCGATCAAATTTTTTTATCGATGAGCATTTTTTAAGGTCTGCGAACAGCCAGTAGTCTTTAGGACCCAAATCTGGCGAATACGGTGGATGTGGAAGCAATTCGAAGTTCAATTCATGTATTTTTATCATTGTTTTGATTGACTCATGACACAGTGCGTTGTTTTGATGAGACACATTTTTTCTTTTCCATATGCAGTTGTTTCTTTGCAATTTCGGCCTTCAAACGCTCCAATAACGTTATATAATATTCACTGTTGAAGGTATTGACATGTCTGAATATAGTCAATGAATATTATACCACTCACATCCCAAAATGCTGAAGCCATAACCTTTCACTGATTGTTGTGCTTACCGGCGCTTTGGACGAGGTTCACCAGTTGGCTTTCCAATCAGATGACCATCGTTTTGATTCCGGAGTGAAGTGATGGATCCATGTTACATCATTGCCACATTTCGACGAAGAATTATGGTTTATTATGTTCAAACATGGCCAAACACTGCTCAGAATCATCAAGACGTCCTTGTTTCAGGTCAACAGTGAGCTCGCGCGGCACCCATTGTAAACAGAGCTTTCTCATAGTCAAATGCTCATGCAATATAAAGCCAACACGTTCTTTTGACATCATTACAATGTCAGCCAACTCACGCAACTCCAATTTTCGATCATTCAAAATGATTTTGTGGATTTTTTTCTTTTCTGGTATTACTGCCTCATTTGGACGACCATTGCGATCTGCATCATCAGTGTCTCTACGACCACGTTTGAAGTCAGCAAACCAACGTTTAAATATTATTTCTGATGGAGCGGAGTCCTAATAATGAATGAATGAATGAATGAAAGTTTATTGACTACCTTACATTACATAATGTTTGTAGTAAGTCCAAATAATATCTAAAAAGAGTACAACACATAGAGAAACAAAATAAGATAAAATAAAATTTTAAAATATAGTACACTGCTACTAGCTATTGTAAAATGTTGCAGTGGCGAGTGCACTCCATAGAAATACACTAGCGATGTCGAAAATGCTTCATGAAATCACTGACAGAATAAAAACAATTAGTTAGTAAAAATTCTTTTGAGCGCTTCTTGAATTTATTGTTTGATAGGATTTTGTATTCCTGCGGTAACAGGTTGTAAAGGTTATAATTTAGAGAGTTTTTCTGTGATTTGGTTAAGCGAAAACGATCAGTACGAATATTGCCTGCAGCTCTGGTATAATGATTATGTATATTGAATTGTTTGCGCAGACACATTCGATTTTTGTGGATCTCGAGCAGAACCGAGAAAATGAATAATGAAGGCAAAGGCAATATGCGTAATTGTGCAAATCCGGCAAGGTGTCACCTGAAAAGATGAGCGTAGTATCGTCAGCAAATAAGACTGACTTATAGGAATGTAAAAAATTAGGTAGATCATTGATGTAAATGATGAACAATAGTGGGCCGGGGAATGAGCCCTGGGACACTCCATGTTTGATAGGTTTATAATTAGATGTACAGCTGTTATATGTGACAGCTTGTAAACGATTTGTTAAATATGAGGCAATGAGCGATAAAGCTACACCTCTTATTCCATAGAACTGCAGCTTATCCAGAAGAATAGAGTGAGAGATGCAATCAAACGCTTTAGATAGGTCGCAGAGTGTGATGGCGGTTATTTTGCCCTCCTCAAGGCCCTCGATCACATCACTCACCACCTTCAGAACAGCTTGCGACGTTGATCTCTCTCTTCTGAGTCCGAATTGTGAGTCGGTAAAAAACCTGTTTTGTTCAAAGCAGTTGTATAAACGCTGTTTCAGGAGAGTCTCGATTATTTTACTGAAGACAGAGATGATAGTTATTGGTCGGTAATTATTCGTATCTGAAAGGTTCCCTTTTTTATGAAGAGGTAAGACTTTCGATATTTTGAAAGCATCCGGGTAAATACCGGACAAGAAAATCAGATTTATGAGGGAGGTGATATGCTTTACAATTATATCAGCTACTTCCTTGATGACGAAGCTGTTTAGTTTGTAAGAATCCAAGCAACCTGAGTTGTTTAGACTATTTATGGTAGTTAAGACTTCATGTTCTGTGACCGGAGATAGAAAGAATGAACTGTTTGTGGTAGGAAAATTACGATAGTTTAAGAGTTCCGTGTCCGACGTTGCAGGAACACTTTTCAAGCCATTGCTTCGCTTAAACGGTATTTTACCCATCAAGAATCAGTGTAAGATTAAAACACGATATTCTTTTTGATCCCTTGTTTTGAAAATAAGAAAAGTAGTGTCAATCTTAGCATAATAACTCACAAACTCATGAGTAGAATATCATGAAATTTCAACAGCTCTCTTTTGTAGGTTAGGTTAGATTATCGAGATATGGTATCAGGGCAGTACCCCTGCACCTTCTGGAGTCTTTTCTAAGCAATCGAAAGCAAGTCCTGAGTGGGACTTAATCAATCCTACTCAGATACCTTACACATACCTCAAGGAGTTCCGCAAGGCTCGATCCTGGGACCATTTCTCTATGTAGTTTATGCAAATGACCTCATAAGATATCTCAACATCACTAACAACTCTATTATACATATGGTGTATTATGTCGATGATACTAATGTACTAGTAGCCCAGAACGATCTGAATGCATTGCAAATTGTAGCCGAAAATACTCTGGAACATGTTCTGAAGTAGTCAAAGAACAATAATCTGAATTCAAATACATCAAAGAATAATGCTATGTTAATTAATAATTATGTGAAATAGAAATGTCAACATCTGTTAAAATGCTGGGTATAACTTTTGACGCAAACTTAATCTGGACCCCACATATTGACAATCTATGCACAAAACTCACAATCACAGACAACGGTGCGGGATACTCCTTCATCAAACGAATAAAAGAAGGATCTATTATTCACAGTATATCACACATACAGGTGAGGTAGAAATATAGATAGATAGATATACATTTATTGATCATACGCCAATTTACATTGGAAAGAGAAATTAAAATTTCTATGCTTTTTAACACTTTTCTTGGTAACTAACGTAACTGCAGTTTCGTCGGATATGGACATTTTCAAACTTATACAATATGTTTATTGTATACGTTACTGCAGTAACGTTAGTTACAAATAAAAGTGGTAAAAAACATAGAAATTTTCATTTCTCTTTTCATCATGATTTCCTACACCACGTAGTAACAGCTACATCCATCAATTTAATTTACATTGGATTGATAATTCAAAACAGAACGATGTTAAAATAACAAAACAATAAAAACACTTTAAAAATATTTTCAAACCAAGCAACACTGAAAGTAGGTAGTACACAGTACACTGTTCATTAACAGTCCGAAATGAATTCTGAAATACTATAAAATGCCCTAGATAACAGATAATATTTCAATTTTGATTTGAATCTGAACAGGTTTGGCTGATTCTTCAAGTCATTTATCTAGCATGTTAAAAAAGTTTGCCGCAGTATATTTTGGTAAATTTTTATAAGTCGAGTTTTTGACAATTTCCAATCTGAATTTGTTTCTTAGACGGGTTCCATTCCATTTATGTTCAGATAATTTAGAATTATTGTTCTTTCTTCAATTCATCATGAATTTTCCTGTTTCTTCGACTATGATTTTTTTACCGAAGAAACGATATACTCCAAAATTGTGGTAGATACGGGTAATTCAAATTGAAAAAGAGATATTTTAAGGAGATGTTAGTAAAAGGTTGTTTCGAAAGTTGTGTCCATTTCAATGTCATTTTTATTCGTAGGTCCATATCTCAATAAATATTCATTTTATTGTGTCGCGGTGTATCGAGTGGTCCAACGAAAAGTATGCACCTTGCTTTTCTCCTTTTTTTGTAACTTAACGCAAAAATGCCCAGACAGATCAATTTTGCTTTTGAGGGAGACACATTTTAGATGTATTTTTCTACNCTAGGGGATTGAAGGCACAGGTAGAAAAATACATCTAAAATGTGTCCCCCTCAAAAGCAAAATTGACCTGTCCGAGTATTTTTGCGTTAAGTTACAAAAAAAGGAGAAAAGCAAGGTGCATACTTTTCGTTGGACCACTCTGTATTCTGATCCATAGAGAATTTTGTACTCTATACATTTATGCTGCTCATTTTTTTCCAAATTATATTATTTGCCTCTTTTTAGCTTATTACCTACTATATGATGTGGTTAAAAGATTTTTGACTAATTTTTCTCCACGAATTTAAATTGAACCAAAACGCTGCCGAAACAGCCTATAAAATTACCCAGGCATTTGGCAATGATAGTTTTAATGAAGTCACTGTTCGACGTTGGTATGCGAAATTTCGTTCCGGAGATTTTAGCCTCGAAGATGAGCCCCGAAGTGCTACCTCCAGTAATCCAGGACGAGAACTTGAGGACCCTGGTGGGGACTGATCCATCACAAACAGTGCGTGGAATAACGGAATAGCTAGGTGTCAGCTCCCATGCGGTTTTTGATGGTTTGAAACATATTGGAAAGGCCAAGAAGTTTGAAAACAAGGTGTTCCACGATCGGATCCTCACGTATGAAAAATGGATCCTCTGAGACAACAGGAGACGTTCAGTACAGTGGTTGGATACCGATTAGACACCCAGCCACTACCCAAAGGCGAAAACCTATATAAAAAGACCGTAGTTACTGTATGGTGTGCTCTGATCACTATACACGGTCAAGTACTGGTCAGTCTCAGGAGTAATTATTCTAACAACTAGAAGAGGAATGAGATGAGGTACTCCGTCAATTGTACTGAATGGAACCTCAGTTTCCAGAACAGAGAATCCAGAAAATTCGAGATATTATCGGAAAAATGTAGGCTTCGAAAATAAATTGGACAAGCTGTATGACAGGTAGAGCAAGCATGAGAACGATCAGAACAATTGTCTTACCACAAAATGGTTAGGATTTCGCGGCTAAGGTTTTCAGTGTCACTATTTTTTGAATTCGGAGGCCGTGAATTTTTGGAATTTCTTCCTGGCGTTTTGCTGTCGCAAGTAGTTAGCTTCTCAGAGGAGAGGTTTATGCATCCTGGGTTAATATCCGATGACTCATTCTTCCAGACTGCAGTGTATGCAATCTTGCACTGCGCAAGTAATATTGATTTAAGGACTCAAGCGAATGAGCGACTGACAGTCATGCTGCACTTGTGCCACTGATAAATCCAAAAATTATACCGAAACTGCTCTAGGAATGGTATTAAGAAGTGACAAAACTGGCGGACATGATTATATTGACTAAATACTGGGTTAGGTTAGGTTAGGTCCAAAGTGAGTGGGTTTATTCAACCCTCCACTGCAACCCGCAAGGGTTAATTGTGGCTCATATCTACCTATTCACACTTGACCAAATAAAGCCAGCTTCTTAACGAAGCCGATTAGTTTGTATGGTGAGTGGTCTTTCAGGTCAGTAGGTAAGAGTAGGGCTCTACCGAATTCTAATAACCTGATTCGGTCCCCAGCGGGGCAGGCACAAAGTATGTGCTCTGCTGTTTCATCATTTTCCAAACAGAGGCGACATACACTTCTTCGTAGTTCATTCCTTCTGAAGTCCAACAACTTTTTGGTATCAAGCTTCGAAGGGTGAATAAACGCCTTGGAGTGAGCCAATCCTGGAAGATTCTGGAAGTCCATACATCTTTTTGCCAACCTGGTGTTCAATCTGTGTATGGCAAAGCCTAAATCGATGCCAATGACAGGTTCTGTTCCGACGAAGCTGCTTGCAGGTCTGGATTCTAGGCCATTATGGCCAGGAATCCAGACCAGTGACAATCTGTTAAGTCTTTCCATCTCTCTGTCCTGGATCTGCGAAGACACCTGCACCAGAACCTGAAGGTGTTTTTGACTATCTGCTCTTAATATTTCCTTCTCCCGGAGAATTCAGTCCTATCTACTCGGAAACAGTACTTTATGAGGCAATTCGTAGTTGACAGTTGGAGACAGTGAGTCGGAGGTCATTTCCAGAAGTCTGTGACTTCCTGTGTCAACCAACAGTCTGTTGCATGCACTCTGCATTAAAATGATTTGTGCAGTTGGCAATGTGCACAAGTCTGTATGCCATCTGTATGTCCATCTAGCCTCTCTTTCGAGAAATATGTGGAGAACAGGTAGATCTAGAAGGACCTCCATGGCCTCTGACGGTGTGAAACTAATGGCACCACTGATGGCCAGATAAGCCTGTCTCTGTAAGTCTGTAAGCCAGAGAGCTTCGCCTGGTCCGTTTTCTGTAAAGCCTTCGACCACCAAGCAATTGCACCATAAGTGATCATTGGTCTGACAATCAACATATAAATCCAATGGATTTGTTTGGGACCTAAACCGCTAGTTTCACCACAAATCCTTCGACATGTTCATAGGGACAGTTTGGCTTTGTGTAAAACTTTTTCCAAGTGAGCCTTTCAGGTGAGTTTTTCATCAAGGACAATGCCCAGATATTTTACTTTCGTTCCAAATGGAATAACCTCACCATTGAGGGAAAGTGGCGTTAGATCGTCCAATTCTCTCCTCCTGGTGAAGAGGATTATCATAGTTTTGCTGGGGTTGACAGACATCTGCTCCCTCAGGCACCGAATGAACAACGTCCATCGTTTTTTGGAGGATATTACAAGCTATCCTTTCGCGACGTGGACCTTGCCAAGATGACAAGGTCATCTACATAAGCTTGCAGATCTACTTTTCTTCTATCGAGGGCATCCAGCAGACTATCCATCAGGAGCGACCACAGAAGGGGAGATACTACCCCACCTTGAGGGCAGCCTCTGATGACCCTGAACCTAATGGCCTAGCTGCCAACCAATTGGGTGGTATATAGTTCCACGCCAGACTAGCTCTATACAATTTTATGAGAATGGGTAAAATTATTTCCAGTCCGTTTTGAAGAAGAGCTGGAAATATACCATCCCTTTCAGGAGATTTGTTCTTTCTTCGGCGTTTAGCGCCATTAAAATGGAATGTCTATTGTTTTCAAGAGTCAGATTTCCAGGAAACTGGTTTTCTATCAAAAGCTCTAACGTTTCTTTACTAGAGTACGTGAATGTTCCATCGGGTCGTTTAAGTGATCCAATTTCAGCAGTCAGCTCTTTAGAGAGAATCTTGTGAATTCTTGTGCTGTGAGGTAAATCAGGGACACTCTCACAGAACTTCCTCCAACACTCCCGTTTTGTCTTTTTAAATTCCTTGTTGTATGACGTTAGAGTAGTTTTATAAAGCTCCGCTGACTCTTCAGCTCGATTGAATGATCGTCGAACTTATTTTCTTTGTTTTTTCAAGGCTTTTGCTCCACCAAGAAGAGTTATGGTTATCTCTTTTAATCCTCAGTGGACAGTTCTCATGATAGGATGAGATCAATGCTTCGCGAAATTCCTTCGCTACTATATCCATATCATTACAACTGTGAATAGTAATGAGTCCGTCCTCAAAGTACATCCTGGTACTGGGTACTAGGAAACTTAGGCAACGAAAGAGATGATACAGGTGCCAGACATGGATCATTAACTCTATAAATCAGCTGTGGGGGTACCATAGTCTCTGGCACGGAACGATTCGGAAAGTGTCTCTATAAGTAGTACTATCAAAACATTCCAGAGGAATCACATAGAAAAACTTTTATACAGGGACCAGCGGAGAAGAGAACTAAGGAACTGCTTGACCAAAGCAGAGATCGGCTCTGAACAATTACAGAGCCACTCACTGGACACTGTCCATTGATAGGACACCTGAACAAAATAGGGTGTACAACAGAGATCTTAACTGCAATCAATGCAACAAATGGATACAGACATCTTGTTATATTTTATGCGAATATCAGGGATTGGATGACAGGAGGCAAACAATATATGGCGATCTAAATTATGTCCATAAGAATATAGCGTGTGTCATGAAGAAGATGGGAGAAAACGGAGACTTGGGAGAAACGAACAAGTCAGTAACCTACCAAGTAGTAGAAAAAATAAAGTACCCAGATTTGAATTTGTTGAATTGCCAGAATGCCAACATTTGAAAACATGTTAAAGTTAAAAACTCGGTAGGTAATATAGTGGCTACATTTTGAATTTCATTATTATCCCTATTTTGTGAATTCGAAAACTTGATGATAGCCAACCGTCTTCATTATTTCAAAACGCTTTTTTCGATATCCGTTGCATCAAATTCCAAAAAGTGGAAAGCGTTGAAAAGAGAAATTAATGACCTTGACCCCTGATCCTATTTAAGATTTGAGGGTTGGATTTCACCATGAGGAGGGAACTAAAGTGGAAATATTCATAAAATAGACGAAAAACGTTTTCCTCTCGAAATAAAAATCGACTGGCCAGAGGAATTTTTTTAAAATGGAATTTATAAGTAATTGGCCTTGTTTCATTTTCACTGACCCACTGTCACTATGTAATGTATCTTATTTTCGATTATTATCTTATTTTTCAGGTTGGAGATCACATAGAGAAATTAGACGGTGAAAATATGGTAGGTAAACGACACTTCGAAGTAGCCAAAGCTCTGCAAGAAATCCCCAAGGGAACCACTTTCACAATCCGATTAGTTGAACCAATGAAGAGCGGATTTAGCAGCATATCACCTAATACTGGAAGAGGGTCTTCTGAGAAGAAAAGTTATGGTAGCGGCAGGGAGACTTTGAGGTTCAAGGCCGGTGGAGAAGCGGAAATCGAAGAAAGAGTAAGATACTTTCCTGATATACTGAGTGGCATTTTAAAAACTGGAATACACAAAAAGTTACGGGTAGTGCTTTTTCTCCCATCAGATTTTTAAATATCTTTTCAAACATTATTCATCATCTCCATAATCAATTATCATGAAGATATTTCGTTAATTTCATTTTTATTTCAAATTGTTCTTGTTAACATCGTCTTCGCTTTGAAGAAAAGCAATATCAAATAACGTAGATTTCTGATATTTCTTAAATTTGATTAACGGTAACGTTTTAACCCCTCTTTTGAATGTAATTTTAATTTATTATTATCATATATTTGTGCGATGTCTGTGAATTTTCATTTTTCCAAAAAAAAATATTTATTCATCAATTTGTATTCTGTCCTCCTAAGGCAGTCTCCCTCAGATATAATACTTGTATCAGCGTTCTCTCCAATATGTCTGCACAATCATGTCGCTGGAATTGCAAAGGCTGCTTCTCAAAAGTTTGGAACACTGTTGCGAACCAGAAAACTGTACTCACCTCAGCAACTTTTGATGCTTCATAAAGCTAAATAAGACCTTCTTTGGAGTATTGTTCTCATGTATGGAGCTCCGGCCCTAAGCATTCTCTTAAGCTGCTGGATTCCATACAGAAAAGAGCCATACGCCTGATTGGAGAAACCGGTAAATCAACATTATTCGAAACAAGTCGCTGAAATCCTCGAAGTGAGCACAGTTCGATTCAATTTAAAATATTTGCACTCACTATTCACCAAAATTTCCCAAAAGTATATAATTGAAATCAAAAAACAGAGTCATCCTGAACATAGTTTTGGTCCTTCCAGCCGGATACTCGTTATCTGAGTTTGAACGCTGCGAATTTGAGTGGTATCGTTGCTTTCAGAAAACACCAGTGCGAGAAAAATGGAAATAATAATAATGAAACAAAATTAAATTTGAAAGAGAGGTAAAGACGGAACAATGCCCACTTGAAATCGTTCATGGAATACTATATTTCTTTCCTTCAATGAAAGTGAGATTAGCATCAGTCACATGAGATTTTTGAATATTAATAATGTTTTGCTTGAATGATTCTCGAATCGATCAAAGTTTGTATACATAAATTTGATTTTTATATTTAAGTTGACAACTCCTATCTGAAATTCCATTTGATTTGGTGAATTTTTTTCTCATTTATTTATCGTTATAGAGAAAACTATCATCAGTTTCTGATGCCGACTCTTGACGACTATTTGATTTTCTTTTTATGGACCAATGTGATTAGCATCTGGTACCAGCGTCACAACACAAAGCAAGTAGTGACAGATAGTTACGAAATAACTGTCTGGAGTAATGGTCTGCCAAATATCCAGATTTTAATGTCCTTGAGATATTCATACGGGGCTTTTTTGAAGATCAAATCCACGGAAAAAGTGACTATCAAAATATCGTAGACCTACGGCGCCTGAGTTCATATATGTCTCTGTTGTTAAACACTTAGCAGGATTCTTTATACAGTGTTTTTCTTTAATGTCTCTCCCTTTTATTGTTTGAAAGGGTCAACTCAAAAACCTGAAATTTGGAACAATTAAATAAATGCATGAATACTTTATTTTGAAGTAAAATTGACAGATGAAACTTTCAAGATGGCGACTGGGCGCCATCTGGGAAAATAAAATTAAATGGAAAAGGTGGTCTTATGACACATCATTTTGAAGCTCCTGACGAATACTTCACAACCTTTCTTCAAGAAATTTGGTGATATACTTGAATCTGTATAAGATACTTCTCAGAGTATTGCTTTGTCCCAATATATGTATGTTCCATCTTAGATGCTTATCTATGGTTACTCCTAAATATTTTATAGATTCATTCTTGTTTATTTTTAAATTATCGCTGATTTTGAGGTTACTGAATGGAGGAGTGGTGTTTTCGTAACATGAGAAAGGCATATAAAATGTTTTTTTAAAATTGATCGTTGATCAATTCAGTTTTTGATAAGCTTCAAATCATTCTGCATAATGGTTTTCATATTGTCCCAGTTTTCAGATTCGAATACTATGGCGGTATCATCTGCGATGACTTCCCCAGACAGGTTAATACTGAAAAGATCATTTATGTAAAGTACAAAGAGCACTGGGTCTAGAACAGTACCTTGCGGTACGCCATAATCAACAGTGCACTCCGTACTCAGACTGCCATTAAGTGAAACCTGCTGTTTTCTGTCACTCAAATAATTTTCCATTAGTTTTCTGGCTACTCCACGGAAACCCAAATCATCTAAAATGTCTAATAGTTGTGAGTGGGGGACCGTATCAAATGCTTTAGCAAGATCTAAAAATACACAAGCAGACTTTTTCCCATTATCTAGACTCTTTAATATCTTTGAGGTTGAATACGCAATAGCATCTTGGGTTGATTTATTTTATTGGAAACCGTATTGGCGGGTACTTATCAGATCGAGGTCCATAGTATAACCGCTAGGGTTATTAGCGATGGATCAGTACATATTGAAAAATGTTGGTAATGTTTGGTAGAAAAATATTGTTTTAAATACGTTGCAATAGATTAATATTGTTCATAAATGAAAACAGTTTCCTAAAGTTGCAATTTTCACCCAAAATATCTTCTATTGTCTCTGAAAACTGATGATTCACCCTCTCTTGATGGTACAGTGGGCACTCACGCAATATGTGTTTCACGGTTAGAGTCGTATCACATAGATAGCACACAGGTTCGTTGGAGTGAGTGATGAGATAGTCGTGAGTGATTCTAGTATGGCCTAATCTCAGTCGTGTAAGCACAACTTGATGTTTTCTGTTGTTCGGGATGGATTTGTAAGGGCAAATACTCTTCTTCACTTCATGTAGTTTGGAGTTGGAGGTGTCCCATTCAAATTGCCTTGATTTGTTTTGAAGGTGTTTTAAGAAGACCTTCATGTCTGACGGTATTATAGCTGGAAGAGCTGTGATTTCGCCTTCAGTAATCGCTCTCTTAGCTAACAAATCAGCTCTCTCATTACCTATAATTCTACAATGTGAAGGGACCCATAAAAGTCTCAAGTTGATTCCGTTATTAGAGATTCTTCGGAGTTCATGTTTTATCGATATGAGGATCGGATGGCTGGGATAGAGTTCAGAAAGAGCGTTTCGCAACATTAGATATTACAGATATTGGTCTATAATTTTTAGTCAATTTTTTTGAGCCCGATTTATGAATTGGTTTGATTATTGCTTTTTTGAATTGCTGAGGGCAAATACCAGATATGAAGATCATATTGATTATGTATGAAATAGGTCCAGAGACTTCATTTTTCTTTCAGAATCTCCGCTGTTATCTGGTCAAAGCCAGGAGATTTATTACATTTCAACTCCGCAATTAGTTCTCTGATTTCTTTTTCATCAGTAGGTGTCAAAAATAAAGATTGCTCTTTAATATTTCTATTTGACACATATTTCGTTTTTTTTATCTTGCTAGCTAAATCAGCTCCAACAGAAATAAAGTATTCTGCAAACGCATTTCTGAATTATCATCTGTAGTTGTAGTATCATTAATATCAAGTTCTTTTATGATTTCTGTTTTTTTTTTCGAGTTTGTTATTTCTTTCACAATATCCCAGACCTTTTTGTTGCTATTTGAGTTTTCCAAAATTTTATTTTTATAATAATCACTTTTCGCTTTTTTAAGTGAAGAATTCAGTTTATTTCTGTATGATAAGAATTGCAATCTTAAGTGATTATTTTCAGGATTCCTCTTCCAAGCTTTGTACATTTTATCTCTATTTTTAATAGAATTCAGTATTCCATCTGTTATCCAAGGGGTCCTTTTTGTTTTCTTATGATTTATTTTTATCTTGACTGTACTTTCTTTTAATGCCTTCATAATTTTTTCGTAGAAGAGATCGGTTAATTCAGTGACATTGTTTAGTGCATAAAAATCTCCCCAGTTTATGGATTTCGTGAGTGTTTTTAGTTTGTTTATATCAGTTTCTTCTTTGTATCGGGATTCATTTCCTCTTTTATTATTTTCTTCGAAGTTTAAATTTAGTACTGTTGGGCAATGATCTGTTATTGGTGTTCTTACTATAAAATGCTTGGAATTATCATAATATGATGTTTTTGTTTTGATGAAACAATGGTCGATGCAGGTTTTGCTGTTACCTTGCACCCTTGTATATTCATTGATTGTTGATGTAAAGTTATACTCACTCATTATGTTTAAGTACATTTCGCTAAGAGTGTCTGATATTTTTAAATTTATATTGATATCGCCAATTAGAATATCAAAATCGAATGATTCTTTTGATAATCGTTCTAGGTAAGTAGTTAAATCATTCAGAAACAATTCAGTTTTAATTGATGGAGGTTTGTATAAACCTGTTACATGAAATTTAATTTTATGTAACAGTGAACTTCACTGATAGCACTTTGATATCTCCTATGTATTCAATGGTGTAACTAAACTGGATTGAATCATTGATGAGTATTATAGTACCATCGTTTTTATTCAACATGCCTTCATTGTAAATAATTTTATACCCTTTCAGTTTGGATCAGGAATATTGAATGTCTCGGATAATACAATAATATCCATATCAGCTTCAATCAATTTCAGGATAGCTTCAAGTTGGTTAAAATTTTTACTAATACTACGAATATTAACGTGTAATATATTGAGCTGCTTTTTGTTTTTTTGTATGTGACTATCAAGTTCCATCAGATCAGTTGTAATGGTTTTTATTGGATAATATTCATAATCACGGATGTATTGGTCCATATAAGTGAAATCAATACCAATATCTTTGAATTTTACACTCCCAATATAGACAGAAAAAAAGGAGAAAAAAAGTAGACTTCAACTCAATGGGGATATTTTAGGGTTTTCCGGAACGATTTTTTTATTCCTCTTGGGCTCGGGTTAATGGTTTATTCGTAATACTGGGTGTTGGATCATTTGGAGTGGTATTCGGTTTGTTGCCTGAATATGAGGTAATAAGCTTGAGGTCAGTTCAGAAGATGCTGAAAATGGTTGCCTTGAACTTCTTGAAATATGAACAGCCTATCCAATATTTCACGCCGAACATTTTCGAACACAGTAACGTCAAAATCTCTACAAATATTTATTATTCTCTG